TGTCTATGGTGTATAATGATGTGATTGTGATGCTGTAATTCTGAGTGTTTTATGTGCTGCAGAACAGGAACCTGCTGTAAAACAGCAATTATGCCTTGATTTTTATAATCTTTTCCTGTTAAATAAATCAAATCAAATCAAATCAAATCAAATCAAATCAAATCAACCAAACGTGTTTTGAGCATCTAAAATGCGCCCAACGCCTCAAGTTGGACGCGCTACGTTCAGCCTGGGACTAGACGCACGTCTGAAGAGGGAGGAGCATCTTGTTTTTTTGTCTATCTTTAATGGTGGATGAAATAAAGATAAAATAAAGAAAATGGCTTTTCTTTATTTACTGAAAGTAAGTGAGCGTTGCGTACACCAGATAATTAATTCACCAGATAATTTAGAGGYGGTTTGTTCGGTGAGTTTCAGTCCAGGTGCTGCGAGCTGACGGACTACTTTTTTGTCCCAAGCTCAGTTTAACTCCACGGTCAGTTTAACGAGCCGCTGACCCGCATCGGTGCTGCTATCTCCTGCCAGAACATCAACTGCAGAAGGTCCATTTCAGCTAAAGAGCTCCTGTCCGACTGTTTCAAGTTAGTGGGCAACATTCAGGAAACCGTCACGTGGAAAAATGATTCTCTCTGATTGGATGACGTGGTGCGTTGAGCGCAAAAGTTCCGATTTTTGAACTCAAGCGTCGGCTGCTTTGGATGCGCCGCATGCACGGAAAACGCTCAAACCACATCTACCACTTCATTGCGCGCCACGCTAAACGCTCTAGATGTGCCGCGAGACCCCTAGACACACGTCCACCATAGACTTTGCCTGTAAACCGACCGCTCCTGCAGCTCAAAACACGTTCGGTGTGAACGTAGCATTAGAATGAGAGTTTAATTGATGAGCTAGCATCTAGTCTGAGCAGAACTGAGACCTAAATGGATTTCAGCTGTTGCAACAATCTGAAAAAATATATTTTAATTTTTTAAGTAAAAAATATTTCATAAACCTTTATTGATGTTGCTTTTCCATTACAATTATTTACAAAAGGTTTCTGTTGTTTAATGCTAGCAGTTAGCTGTAGCATTTTCAGTGGTTCTTTCTCCAGGAACATCATATAGTTTTTGCTCTTATAGCAAAATTTTACGTCAATTTGTAAAAATATTTGCATAAATTACTTTGAAACTTTTCATATTGGATCTGTTTTAAGGTGGTAGAAGTCATTTTGGATCTTTGTTAGCTCGTTACTTTGGTTAGAATTAAACTGTTTCTCAAGACTGAAATATTTGAAGGCCAAAGCTTTTGTCCAAGAAGCCAAATATGTAGCTATTTTTAAGTTTTTGTTGGTGTCAGTCTGTTTTTTTGTTGTTATTTGAAGCATTTGTGAAACAGGAGTTCTGACATCTGCTCTTAGAAACCGTTTTATTGTCATATCCCTGCTCAATTCCAGAGGCTGCAGAGCTCCGTCTGCAAAAATCAGTTTCTTGCCTCCAGTTCTCATTGGGTTTTTTTTCTCCTGAACTCTTTAATAATTCAGTGCTTGCTGTCTCGGGGGAAACACCGAGCAGGCGGTGAGTGTGCAGCAGCTCACGAGGACACTTACTCATTCAGGCAGCCAGAGAGAGGGGGAGGAGGACGACGATTGTTGATGCCTATTTTTGCAACAAGATGGTCACCATTTGTGCAGCTTTTATTTTCAGCTGCATCATTTTTTTAACTCAATAACACTGTCCCAGTCTCCCTAAATTTAGCAACTAAATATACTTGTTTCCCAAAAGATTCAATTTATCATCAGTGTTTTAATTTTTATCTTTTGCTACATTTGTTCCACCACGCAGGTTTTAATGTGAACCACCTGGACATCGCTCCCCGTTATGCCAGCATCCTAATGGGTATCTCCAACGGTGTGGGGACTCTGTCTGGAATGGTCTGCCCACTAATTGTTGGTGCTATGACAAAGAACAAGGTAAAGCCTTCTCCTCAGCAGATGTAAATATTAAACATAAAAGAATAAACGAATGGATGAAACGTTTTATTTGGATTTTGTTTATAGTCAAATAAAAATACCAATTGGATAAGAAGTAGACCAGGGATGGGTACTTAAGTGATGGAAGGGGCCACAGTGTTTTGTTGATAGTACCAGAGGTTCTAAGAACAGAGCTGAAAGTAGGTGGGACCACCCAGAGTAAAGAGACTGAACCTGTGCCATGCCAACCCGAGCTGGGTCAAGTCAAGCCCATGGAAAAGAGCCATAAGTGACAGATTAGAGCATTGTGAAATTTATATTTATAATTTGTACAAAGTAAAATTGTAATGAGTACCAACTAGCTCTTAACATAAAGAAATATATATTTCCCTACAGACTCGAGAGGAGTGGCAGTACGTGTTCCTGATAGCATCGCTGGTGCACTACGGAGGGGTCATTTTCTATGGGATTTTTGCGTCGGGAGAAAAACAACCGTGGGCCGACCCGGAACTGACCAGCGAGGAGAAATGCGGCTTCATCGACGAAGACGAGCTGGCRGAGGAGACGGGTGACATCACCCAGAGTTACGGGGCTTTCGGGGGTCCCGCTAAAACGTACGGTGCGACCACCCAGGTGAACGGAGGCTGGGCCGCTGGCTGGGAGAAGACGGAGGAGTACGTCCAGGAGGAAGCACAGGAAGGAGGCTACGGAGGATACAGGCAGGACGAGGGGTATTCTTAGACCAAAAAAACACACGAAACTGACTCGTTTTCCTGTGTGTGCATCAGTTTTAGTCATACGAATATCAACAAATGACAAACAAGAAAAGCTACAATCCATCGTCGTATTGTTTGCACAATTTAAAAAAATGATTAATGTAAAAATAAATTAATACATATGAAGATATTTGATGAATAGAGGTGTAGCACATATCAAATTGGCAGTATGTAAATGTACTAATGCATATTGATAATAGATATATTTATTTGGAGTGCAATTGTGCGTAAACGTAATTATTTCCATCCCATCAGCTGAGGCTTCGCTGAAGCCTGTAGGAAAACATAGAAAGCACATCACAGCTGACCATGACGGGTCAGGTCAACGGTTACAGTTCAGCAGCCTATAAACCAGCCGTTTGAGTGTAGAAATATCACTGCACAACACGAAACAGAACCTAGACACTCTGATGTTAGAGATCGTACTGTATCACTCCCGACTGACGTGACCTTTCAAAGCACCGGTATGATTATTTCTGTCCTCTTCTCACTGACTTCTGTATGTAAATGACCTGAAACGGTGACCCACATTAGAGATTTGAAGGGTGATGTGTTGACTTATGATGAGATTTTTCTTTGCTTTAAACCTGATTTCACCTCTGCAGCTGAAGCCGTCTTTCAGATCTTTTGAAGTGGGAATCTGTGAAAATGTTATGAACAACGCCTGTTTTATTTGTTGTGGAAAACTTTTTAATCAAACTTAGTTTGGAGAAATAGTATAACTCCATCAACCTAAGGGGTGCAACAATAAATGTTTCTGTATCGAAATGTTCAATATCGAACAATACAGAATTTTAAAATTTATTTTATCAACTTGTCTTCTGAAGATGCTCTGTGTTGAAGACTCAGTGGATCTGTGTTCGACTACTCCACCTAGGCTGCATTGTTGAGCACAGATCCACTGAGAAAATTGCTGTTTCAGCAACATTTTGAGGTTAAACAAATGTAGTTAATTTCAATCAATTACAAGTTAAGAAGGGCGTGGAAATTTCTTTATTTTTCTTTTTGTATCAGAAAAAATATTGAAGCGTGAGACTAAAGTATCAAAGCAAATCGTGACTTTTCTGTATTGTTGCACCTCACTAACTKTAGGCACCATATAAGAATTTGAGCCGGTAGATGAACAGCGCCTCTACAGAGTGGTTTTTACTACAAGTTTTAAGTCCTGCCTTTTCCCCGTAAGCAACTGGACTCTTGTTGTGGCTCCTTGTTCAGATGTTTGTTTTCAAAACACATYTAGCTGTATCTAGTTTATGCTCAAAAGAAAGCTAATGCGGCGCCATGATTGTGTGTTGTGGAGTGGGGCGGGACTTAAAGCCTSACATCTCTAGTGATGAAACATGGCAGCCCTCGTAAACTGGTTTCTGCTTGCTTCAAGTCTCATCAATAAGAGACGGTGAGCAGATTTGACCTAACACCTGCCAATGTTACGTCCGGGTTGGTGAGTTAGGCGGTCATCCAACAACCAAAGTTGATGGCTGCCATTTTAAAAAAGCTCTAACGTAAACAAAAATCTCTCATTGATGCAAATGCTTTTTTTTGTAAACTTTATCATCATCTGTCAGTTTCACATTATTTTATTTGTCTAGAGTTTGGTGATTCTTTGCAAGCACAAACAGCAGCAGCAGCTAGTTGTAGCACTTTTGATGCAACCTGAGGCACCTCATTGGAATATTGTATTTATATTGTGAAGCTGACTGCCATGTAAAGTTTACAAACAGGCACTCACGTGATCATACTTTGGTCTTAATGAGCTACCTAGAGTTTAATCAGAATTAAACTATATTCCTCCAAACTGTAGCCTTTCAAAGAGCTATCTACAACAGGTAAGATATTAACTGTTCATGACCATTTGACAGAATCCCACTCCTAAAAATCTGAATGCTCTTTTTAATTTTTTTTCTGTAAATCATCACATCTCAGAAGTTTAATGGTTTCACCTTTATTTTTCTCCACATTATTGTCAGATATATTTAGTTTAAGAGTTTAAATGAAAAACATATAGGATATAAATATTTATGAATATTATATGTTTAAAGATTCAGTTTGAGGGACCACAATATTTATGGTCAAACTTGGCCTTAAAAGAGGGTTTGTGCAATGAAAGAAATTGTGTAAATTAACCCAAATAAGATCTATATGAGGATTCTGAGAGTAAAAGCATTTATTTAAAAAAAGATTATGAATATTTGCAGAAAAAAATATTTAATTAACCAAAACCTGTCAAATCAGTCTCATCCTGAGCTGTAGTTTGATTCAAACRTCAGAACTTTGAGTATTCGTAGCTCTTCTCGTCACTTCAGGTCATGTTCAGGCATCTTTTTTTATGCATTTCTATTTTATTTGAATGTCATAAAGTAAAATGTGTTTAATGTAAACCTTATGGAAGAGCATCTTTTTTTCATAAAATAAAAGACACGCAAAACACGCTTGAATAACACACAGAATGATCTTCAGTGCTGTTTTTTTTACATAAATCACGAGTTTAGGTGGAGCACATATTATCAACAATGATAAACAATAACTGTCAGATGATTCATAGTGCTATAATCTCAATTCTGCCAAGTTCAACAAAAAAAGTGAGATAGAGATTTGGGAGATGTGATTTTTGGTGTTTTACGATTAAAATAAAGGATTATAAAAGTCGTGAACATTCCTGAACAAGTATTTTATATTTGTTTACATCTAAAAGTCACTGAAACCAGATCTTTTATTTTGTAGTTTGAGTGACAATAAAGTGGAAGTGATAATCACTCGTGCATTTTAAAATACACTGCTCTTTGTGTATTTTTTTCCACTATTGAATAGGATATATTTTATAAATCACTATAAAATATAAGGATTTATGTGGAGTTTCCTAGCTGGAATAAAYACGACATCTGCCAGAATCACATGTTCTGTTTTCATTCATATTATTACAGAGAAAGGTTTGAAGGGGGCCTTTTTTCATTTTACCACGTGTCTGTGAGGACCTCATGTCACTATAAAGAGTAGATTTGTGTGGATGTGTATTTATGCATGGAAAAATGTGGAAAATGTTGTATCTGTCCATTTGTTTCTGTTTTTTACAAGCTTTTTTTCTGTCTTTGTCTCAGACACTGTTACTGATGTTTCAATTTGTTTGCACAATTAACCAAAGATTTGAAAAATAATAAAAAAATTGCTTTGTTTTAGCTGAAAGTGTAATATGTTTTAGGGCAGAGCAGTTCTGATTTGAGGAAAACAAACAAAGCAATAAAACAGCAGTAATAGCTCTGGTCAAGAAGAGTTTTTAATTTTATTGATTTTTTTAATGCATTCATTTAAAAGTTGTGTTTTTTTGTGACAATAAATGTAGAAAAACTTGTAAAGATAAAAAAAAAACATATAAATGTATAAAAACCTAGAATTAGAGTCCACCACAAACTGCCGTGACACAAAGAGGAGAAAGTCGAGGCGTTTGTGCGTGGGCTGCTCACCAGATGAGAATGATAAAAAGAGCTCCGTCTGACAGGCCGACGCTCTTCTTCATGTTCCTGTTTTTGCTTTTTGGTGTGCTCCACACTGAATGTGTCACTGTGCTGTTGTTCCTCCCACCCTCTGCATTTCAGTTGTGTCTTTGAAATCAGTGGCTGAACCCCTCACTCCCTCCCCACAACCCCCTCGTTGCTCCACATGTATCTTCTCCTCACCCCCTCTGCACAGCCTTCCACAGTGTCTTTACGGATAAAACCTAAACATGCGATTTTGAACAGAAATGACCAACGTGCAACCTGAAATAGTGAGACGTTTCCCATTTTTGTGCCTCTGAATTTACAGTGTGGTCCTATGGCTTCTGTTGATGTGTAAAATCGAGAGGTTTGTTGATGTCAAACTGAAATAATCTATTTCCTTTTTTGATATATAAAAAAAAGATGAAACAAGTCTGTGTTTGTTCTGAGTGTTTGTGCTGACGAGTGCAGACGTGCAAAAAAGTCAGACGATATTAAAGAACTTATGAGAAGTGGTTCATGGTTTTGTTTTCTAAATAAAAAAATGTGTGATTGTTCAAGCACTGATCTGGAGCTGAAGTGAAACCTCCAAAACAAAAAAATATTCATACACTCAGAGAATGTGAATGATCCTCAGCTACAACTACACCAAGTTTAGGTGTTTATTGGAAAGAAATATCACTGAATAAAAACAGTTTTGTGTTTTTTAAGTTAATCCAGCCATGGAGGCCATTTTAATTTGGGTTTACTCCAGAATTTTAGGAATTTTGGATCAAAATATTGAGGTCATTTCCTGAAAATTTAATTAAAATCTGTTAAGTAGTTTAAGATATGTTGCTAACAGACTGAGTTGAATTCAGATGGTTAATGGCAAAATTTAAAACAAAGATTTTGGGAATTTGTCTCAGTTACTACTACACCCAGTTTTAGGTCAATTAAGGTCAATTTTATTGAGCTGTAGCTATTTTTTGAGTTTTTTAAGTCAGCTCAGGTTGATTCCAAATTAGTTGTGCAGTGAATACTTTCTACACGTTTATATCATATTTGGGTAAAGTTACAGACAAAAAAAAAAAAAAAACACAACAGCATCACTCAGTTTTTAAATGAATTTATCCCTGAGGGAGATGCCTGCCTCTTTAATAATCCCACTAAATATTTCATCAGCTTGTAGGATTTTTAAAAAAAGCTGCATTGCAAAAAGATTTGTCACCTGAAGGAAAAACATGTAATGATAAAGTTAATCTTTTGTTATTTAATTAGAGAAATAAACTGCCAAGTCTAAACTTACTTTCCAGTTTATTTT